CATTGGCTGGCGGGGAGCCGGACTCACCCGGGTGCGTGCAGATCCCAGGGTGCTGCCCGCTCCGCTCATGCATCTCCAGGGAGAGCGGAGAGAAAGTGAGAGGCAGGAGGGGAAGAAGAGAAAGAGAGACGGAGCAGGGAGAGAGTGAGAGGCAAGATATGATGGGCTAATTGGCTGGTCATATATATAGTAGCCCAATGTCTGTGACTCTGTAATGGTGTAGTGTTTGGTGTTGCCTCTGGGCAGTGCTGTGGCCTCTGTAATGTTCTTTGCCTCCTGTTGTAGCACTCAGCTGACTTCTGCACCGGTCAGCAGGAGCCACCGCACAGGAGCAAGTGGTGCAACTGGCCGTTTGGGCTCCACGGTCCCCATGCAGCACGGGAGTGCTGCATGGGGACTGCGGAGCCCAAACGGCTGCTTGCGTTGCTTGCTCCCACGCGGCGGCCCATGCTGAGCGGTGCACAAGTCAGCCGAGCGCCACGGTGGGAAGTGAAGGGGGGTGAAGTGGTGACATACACGGCCAGGGGGTGAGGCCTGGACGAGCATGCATCCCCGACAGAGACAGAGAGCAGAGGAGACGAGAACGGAGGAGGCGGGAGGCAGAGGAGAGCTGAGAGAGAGAGAGGGGGAGGCAGTAGGAGGAGGAGAGAGAGAAGGAATGAGAGACCGGAGGCTCAGGAGAGAAGAGCGAGATAGAAAGGGAATAGGATGGGGAGGAGAGACCCGAAAAACCCATCTTATGATGGGCTATTGGCTAGTATAGTGGTAATGTAGCAATAATATAGCAATATAAGGCATATATATTAACATACATTTAATATTTCACAAATTATGTCCTTTCAGTTGAAGGTCTATTTTAGATGAAGTTTAGTATATGTCCTAAAGTAGAAAAACAGTTCTGGGTATTGTGGCTGTGTTAATAAGATTAGAGGAACTCTGCTAATGTGCAAGGCCAAAGCCTTAATTGCTTGATTTACAATTGCATATCCGTTACCTGGAGAGTTCTTGTAACGTTGCTCATGTGTGTGAAAGGAGTGTGAATGTGTCGAGATAAGATGCAAAGTTATATGGCTTAGAACCAGATGGCCAAAGAAGGGGGTTAAGCGAGTGTGTGCGAAGGCCAGAGGACGAGACAACCTGACTGCAGAGAAGAACATAAGAATGACCATACTGGGTCAGATCAAAGGTCCATCTAGCCCAGTATCCTGTCTGCTGACAGTGACCAGTAGCAGGTGCCCCAGAGAGGGTGGACTGAAGACAATGATCAAGCGATTTGTCTCCTGCCATCTCTCTCCAGCCTCTGACAGACAGAGGCCAGGGACACCATTTTATCCCCTGGCTAATAGCCTTTTATGGACCTAACCTCCATGAAATTATCTAGCTTCTCTTTAAACTCTGTTATAGTCCTAGCCTTCACAGCCTCCTCTGGCAAGGAGTTCCACAGGTTGACTACACGCTGTGTGAAGAAGAACTTTCTTTTATTAGTTCTAAACCTGCTACCCATTAATTTCATTTGGTGTCCTCTAGTTCTTCTATTTAGGGAACTAATAAATAACTTTTTTTTAATCGGCCCTCTCCACACCACTCATGATTTTATAGACCTCTATCATATCCCCCCTCAGTCTCCTCTTCTCTAAACTGAAAAGTCCCAGTCGCTTTAACTTCTCCTCATATGGGACCCGTTCCAAACCCCTAATCATTTTAGTTGCCCTTTTCTGAACCCTTTCCAAGGCCAAAATATCTTTTTTGAGGTAGGAGACCACATCTGTACACAGTATTCAAGATGTGGGCGTACCATAGTTTATACAGGGGTAGTAAGATATTCTGTGTGTTATTTTCTATCCCTTTCTTAATAATTCCTAGCACCCTATTCGCCTTTTTGACCACTGCTGCACACTGCATGGAAGTTTGCAGAGAACTGTCCACGATAACGCCAAGATCTCTTTCCTGATGTGTCGTAGCCCCCAGCTGAAGCTGGTGTGCGTCAAAAAAGCACAAGAGCTGTGCAGTTTAGAGCCCCCTGGCCCCGGGGAAGACGTGCCACTTGTGTAGACAGTCGCAGGCTGTTGCCACAGTTCTGCTCTCTCCACAGCTCCCCATTGTGCTTGTGTAACTGATCCCATGGGGGCCAGCAATGTACCTGAGAGAGCGCTAAAAGAACAAACCTTCACTGCCAAAACTGAACTACTAAGAACCATAGAATCACAGAATCCCAGGGCTGGGAGAGACCCCAGGAGTCATCGAGTCCAGCCCCCTGCCCAAGGCAGGACCAATCCCAACTAAATCAACCCAGCCAGGGCTTTGTCAAGCCGATCACAGTCTGCTTCTGTCTTGACTATCTTAAACAGTTTGGTATCATCTGCAAACTTTACTACCTCACTGCTTACCCCTTTCTCCAGATTATTTATGAATAAATTGAACAGGATTGGCCCCAGGACTGACCCTTGCGGGACACCAGTAGTTACCCCTCTCCATTCTGAAAATTTACCATTTATTCCTATCCTTTCTTTCCTGTCTTTTAACCAGTTCTCAATCCATGAAAGGACCTTCCCTCTTATCCCATGACAATGTGATCTACACAAGAGCCTTTGGTGAGGGACCTTGTCAAAGGCTTTCTGAAAATCTAAGTATACTATATCTACTGGATCCCCCTTGTCTGCATGTTTGTTAACCCCTTCAAAGAACTCTAATAGATTAGTAAGACAGGATTTCCCTTTACAGAAACCATGTTGACTTTTGTCCAACAAATTATGTTCTTCTACATGCTTCACAATTTTATTCTTTACTATTGTTTCGACAAATTTGCCCGGTACTGAAGTTAGACTTACCGGTCTGTAATTGCCAGGATGGCCTTTAGAGCCCTTTTTAAATATTGGTGTCACGTTGGCTACCTTCCAGTCATTAGGTACGGAAGCCGATTTAAAGGATAGGTTACAAACCACAGATAATAGTTCAGCAATTTCCCATTTGAGTTCTTTTAGAACCCTTGGATGAATGCCATCTGGTCCCGGAGATTTGTTAACATTAAGTTTTTCTATTTGTTCCAAAACCTCCTCTAATGACACTTCAATCCGGGACAGCTCCTCAGATTCATCACCCACAAAGGACGGTGCAGATTCGGGAGCCATCTATAACCATCAATGTATACCCCCTACTCACAAGAAGATTGGATAATTGGCAGGCTGACGAACTGAAAGCGGAGCAAGCACCCCGAAAGGATGAGTGATTACAGGATGAGCCTTGGAAAGATGTTTTGGGAACGCTGACATCAAACAGATAACGTTCCAGTCACACAGTGGAATACATTGATTTCAACAGAGAAATGGATTATAAAAAGCAGGGTGCTGCTTTGCTATGGACCTTTGGGTTCGTCTTGCCAACAAGAAATCCAGAGGAGATTTAAAAAGGAATAAAAGTAAAAGAGCTAGAATTTCGCAATTAATATAATGGTGGTTTAAACAGCATTCCACAATACTAGCTTCCTAAATGAAATAAATAGAAAAACAGAGGAAACAACACAGACAGTCAAGCACTGGAAAGCTGCTCTGCAGGCAGAGTAACAGGCTGTCCAGGCATAGGATTTGCTTGAACAAGTGAAGCAGGAAAATGGGAAATTAAACAAGAAAACTTTTTGGTTTGCTGAAATGGCAATTGGCAAATACTTAGTGCTAAGCAAAGGAAAATCAGTGTAACAGTAAAGCTTCTCAGTCATTACCCATAAATAAATTTGGAGCTTCATCACAGACAAACTATTAAAGGCCAACCTGGTCCGCTGTATAGGAGGGAGACTGAGGCATGTTACCCCATTAATTTAATAAATGAGCAGTGGAATGATTACCTGGAACCTACAGAGAGTGGACATTACTGAGGCTTGGCTGGTTTACAAAACAAAAGCATAAGTAATTATTGGGTAACAGCAGGCTGATAAAGCGACGAGGAGTCCTGTGGCACCAGGCTGATAAAGAAAACAGCAGGCTGATAAAGAAATCAGCAAGAATACTTGTAATAGAGAAAAGCATTTTAAGATAGAATGTGCCACCCCCATGGGGGTAGAAAATGTTTTCTTTGTCTTTCAGAACATCAGAAAAGCTGGTATCAGCTGAAAAGTAGCTAAAGAGCAGCTGAAGAGCAACTAAAATAATATGGATTTATTGTCACGACAAAAATTGTGTTTTGTGTTTTTATGTCGTCTTGTGATGTCTGTCTCATTGCTAGCATTGTTAATAGTTGTGTTTGGAAAGGGAGAATACTGCATTAGACAGAAAAGGGTTAATAAGCATTTTAGCTATATTTACAGGAACCAATATATAGAAGGGGTGTTGGATAGGAATTTCACCCACACTCTGAATTCCCCCTACCCTCTGAATTCCCCCTTTCAATCCTAACACATGCTGTGCTCTGGAGCACGTCACCACAGGGAATACTTGGGTGGGGGCAGAGAGAGGAAGAAATACAATAGAACACCCTTTACCTGCTGGATCCGGAGCGCCCTCCTCTGTGCAGCTTGGAACAAAGAAAGCAGCGCACATTATACCCATTTGTGACAAAGGACGGGGTGGGATCTGGCCACCAATGCCACAGGCCACAACTAATACACAGGGCCGCATACCCCCACACAGTCCCAGGAACACGCAGGGAGACCCACCTACGCGCCCAGGCAGATAAGTCGAAAAGGCAGCTTGTTAACTGCGGCTGATTCTGGCTGTGCTGTGACCCCATCGGATCCCACCAACAGCAGCTGAGAGCCCCATCCACAAGAACCACCTCTCTGGGTCAGACCCGAGAGCCATCTAGCCCAGTATCCTTCTTCCAACAGTGGCCAGAGGGAATGAACAGAACAGACAGACATTGAGTGATCCATCACTTGTCATCCAGTCACAGTTTCTGGCAATCAAAGAGTAGGGACACACCCAGTCCATGGTGCTGCATCCCTGACCATCTTGACTAATAAACACTAATAGCCTATCCTCCATGAGCTTATCTATTTGGATCCCGTTAGAGTCCGGGTCTCACAACATCCCCTGGCAAGGAGTTTCAGAGGCTGACTATGCACTGAGTGAAGAAACACTTCCCCGTGTTTGTTTTCAACATGATGCCTATTAATTTAATTACATGGCCCCTGATTATTGTGTTATGTGACTATGTAAGTAACATATCCTGATTCACTTTTTCCACACCCGTCATGATTTGACACGCCTCTATTATATCCCACCACAGCCATCTCTTTTCCAACCTAAGTCCCATTTTTTAACTCTCCTCCAGAAAGAGGGGGCTCACAGGTGCCACTGTGCTGCCTCATGGTTACAATTTATCAAGGCTCATGAAAGATTCTCCAACAATGAATTAGATTCTCCATCTTTCCAAATCAAGGAATTATTGGGGGCAGGTCTCTGGCCTGCGCTATACTGGAGATCAGACCACATAATCACAACGCTTCCTTCTGGTCTTGGGATCCATGGACCATAGCAGATGTGGGCTGCAAGGTCTCACTGCATACCGGTCACTGGTGTGTCTAGGCAGGCTGTGTCTGCCTCACAGCTCTTCCCCATCTAGTATCATTCATGGGATCTTGCCCCCATCCCTTGCAGAGCTTTAATGAAGCCCTCACCATCAAGTGCACAGACTCTGTTGGGTTCATGATACTTCACTCTGGGCTCAGGACACCGACTGAGCCACGTTTCTGGACAAGACAAGTTTGGGATATACAGTATCAAAGGCATCCCCAGGCTCCAAGGAGCGCCCTCTTCCCCCCTTTGGGGTGCCCCTTATTTGCAAGAATTTCCCTGTACCCCATCATGGCTCCCCCACTGTGTTGCACGTTCTGTCAGTAATCATAGAATCATAGAATACTAGGACTGGAAGGGACCTCGAGAGGTCATCGAGTCCAGTCCCCTGCCCTCATGGCAGGACCAAATACTGTCTAGACCATCCCTGATAGACATTTATCTAACCTAATCTTAAATATCCCCAGAGATGGGGATTCCATAACCTCTCTGGGCAATTTATTCCAGTGTTTGACCACCCTGACAGTTAGGAACTTTTTCCTAATGTCCAACCTAAACCTCCCTTGCTGCAGTTTAAGCCCATTGTTTCTTGTTCTATCCCCAGAGGCCAAGATGAACAAGTTTTCTCCCTCCTCCTTATGACACCCTTTTAGATACCTGAAAATTGCTATCATGTCCCTCCTCAATCCTCTCTTTTCTAAACTAAACAAATACAATTTTTTCAGCCTTCCTTCATAGGTCATGTTCTCTAGACCTTTAATCATTCTTTGTTGCTCTTCTCTGGACCTTCTCCAATTTCTCCACATATTTCTTGAAATGCGGTACCCAAAACTGGACACAATACTCCAACAGAGGCCTAACCAGAGTAGAGTAGAGCAGAAGAATGACATCTCGTGTCTTGCTCATAACACACCTGTTAATGCATCCCAGAATCATGTTTGCTTTCTTTGCAATAGCATCACACTGCTGACTCATATTCAGCTTGTGGTCCACTATAACCCCTAGATCCCTTTCTTCCGTACTCCTTCCTAGACAGTCGCTTCCCATGCTGTATGTGTGAAACTGATTGTTCCTTCCTAAGTGGAGCACTTTGCATTTGTCTTTATTAAACTTCATCCTGTTTACCTCAGACCATTTCTCCAATTTGTCCAGATCATTTTGAATTATGACCCTATCCTCCAGAGTAGTCGCAACCCCTCCCAGCTTGGTATCATCTGCAAACTTAATAATCTAGACAGTCAAACCAACGTGGCCCGCTGAGACCACCAGCTTCATTCCCCTTTCGCTTCCTCAGTAGTTACACTGCAGGGAATTCGGCTGTCCTTTCCTGACAAGTGCATCTGAGGGGCTGGGGACCGCCCTCAGGAAGACAAAATCAAAGAGACAATCCCTCTTCCCCACATAGTTTGTTTCAATGCACTTCCCCTTTGGCATCTCACTACGGCTCTAAAGCCAAGGCCGCCCACAGCAACAGCCTGGAGCAGGGCGCAGAGCTGGCACCTTCCTAGGGGGAGAAATTCGAGTGCTCACCTCAGCGAAAGGCAGGAAACCGCCCTACCTTCTCAGACTCCAGGCTAGCACTAGGCTAAGGTAGGCTCTACTCTTCAACGGTCACCTACCTAGAAAAGGCCTCATTGAGATCGTCGTCTTCCTCCTCCTCCTCCTGCAAACCAAGAAAGAGGAAAGTATAAACCCCAAGAGATGACTCTGCTTGGGGTACTGTGCCCACTGAGCAGCATGGCCCCAGCAAGCTCCTAGTGCAGGCCTGCTGCCTGGCTACACATACCACATCTGGCCCCGATGCCCCCAAGCAGCTTTGCACTGGACCCAACACAGGTATTGCTGCTAATACACCTCAGAATGCTTACTATTTCACAAAGGTGTCCCACTGTTCTCTCATATTTAGCTTGTGAGCCATGATGACCCCAATCCCCTTCTACAGTACTCCTTCCTAACAGTCCTTTCCCATTTTGTAGGCTTGAAACAGATTGTCCCCTCATAAGAGCAGCCAGACTGGGTGAGACCAAAGGTCCATCTAGCCCAGTGTCCTGTCTGCTGGCAATGGCCAATACCAGACGCCCGAGAGGGCATGAACAGAAACACGTAATCCTCAAGTGATCCCCCCCTGTCATCCATTTTCAGCCCCTGACAAACAGAGGCTAGAATCATAGAACTGGAAGAGACCTCAGAAGGTCATCAAGTCCAGCCCCCTGCTCTAGGCAGGACCAATTCCAACTAAATCAACCCGGCCAGGGCTTTGTCAAGCCGAGACTTAAACACCTCTAAGGATGGAGACTCCACTACTTCCCTAGGTAACCCATTCCAGTGCTTCACCACCCTCCTAGTGAAATAGATTTTCCTAATATCCAACCTGGACCTCTCCCACCACAACTTGAGACCATTGCTCCTTGTTCTGCCATCTAGACTTTGCAGCAGGAGCACCACCATTGGGACATCATCAGACCTTTCCCTGCTGGCCACAGAAGTGTGAAGGGTCACAAGCAGGTGTCCCAACGAGCTGTGGGAAGTTGGTGCCCTGCGGTCTGAGCGTGCGGGCTGAGTGCTACTGCCAAATGGGAAGGAGGTGGTATAGCAAGGGAAACGTCGCTTACCTTGGGGTATGAGCAGTCCAGGCCACAATGCTGGGGCCTGTAACGAACTCTTCCTGGCATATGCAGAGGGCTTTATTCCTCAAGGCTCTCAGCTGCCGTGCCGCAGGGAGAGGGGGCACCCTGCATTCGGGGTGTCTTGCCCCAGAATGTGCGGTGTAACGTTCCAAACCCATTGAGGTCAGCAGATGGAAGCAGTTGCCTCTCCCCTTCTGCCTCCCGCTGCCCAGGCTGGTTCAGAGCCCACCCTGCAGTTTAGTCTGCCTGTTGTGCCAAAATACACCTCCCCCGCTCCTAGCTTTTCCCAAAGAGCTGTCCCTCTGTGCCCTGGTGCCTGGCGGGCATTTGGAGCGACTTAATGGTAGCTCCTGGGCAAGAGCCTGGGGTTGGCAGCCCAGTGATCACCACTTGGCCTGGTCTGCCCCTGACTCCTGGGCACAGCTGTAAGGGAGGGAGCCATGGGGCAAAGGCAGCTCTGCTGACTGGCTCTCTCCATCCGGCCTCCCAGCCTGCTGCACAGCAGCCCCTACAGTGAGATGGCACCTCTGCATGCACTGGCCTAGTGGGAGATCTCAGGGTGAGAAGGTGGTTTGGGGCTTGATTCACAGCCTGGCTGGGGAATATTTTTCAGGGAATTCAGAGCTTCCCTCTACTTGGTCTTGAGACAAAGGGTTATTTGTCTGGTACGCCAAGGACTGAAGGCAGGGAGGAGATGCAGGAGAAGGGAATGAGCCATCTCCCTGTTCAGAGTTTGGAAAACCTCATGCTGAGCATCCTCTGTGTGACCCTGGGGGAGTTGTGTTTGCGGAACAGCCAGTCCCTGAACCTTTGGGATCCAACGCCAGATCTGTTAGCGCATGGATGCCGAGGAACAGGGGGACCCTGCCGCCCCTTCTCTTCCCACTCCACTCAAACCCACTTTGGCGGTGGTGTGTTCAGAGCTGGCCCATCCTGGAAGCTGTGGGGGCTCATGTGACCCTGGAGCCCTCGTTCCAGGGGCCGATGTATCCTCTGTGCAGCCGAGCTGGGGTATCAGGGAG